CGTACCGATGGCTGCGTACGTGAGTAGGAGCGGTGAGGTTCAGCTTAAGGGCGAGAAATTGAGGCCTGGTGGTTTGAAATTGTGGGGCTTGTTTTTGTAAGACATGTCCTAGGGACTTATTTGTAAAATAAGAAAATTTAACTATATTACAATTAAGTTCATGTCAAATTTGCAATTTATTAAAAACCTCAAAATTGAACAATATTAATACACGATTTCATTTCTTCAATAGCTCATTATGTCATACTGATTCTTCATCAAAATTGAAAGGAAAAAATAAAAAGAATGTAGTTAACAATTAAGATTTTGTGCAAATAATGACAATATATACAGATGTTAATAACATACTACACTGAGCCTTCGTCAAAAAAGGGGGAAAAAAAAAAAAGAATTTGTGGTTAACAATTAAGATTTTGTGCAAATAATGAAAATATTAAATATATAGATGTTAATATCATACTAGGATTGCATCAAAACGTGCGTCAACAAAATTTTACAAAATTAATTGAACTTATATCCAGCCAAGGAGATAATAAAATGCACAATATTGTATAAATACGCGCCTTACAAGAAGATTCACATAATAAAACCGAAATATAAAAGATGAACTGAAATAATTTAGTTCGGTCGATTTATGATGTTATTGTGCAATCTAGTACTCATTAGTGTACAATTCGTGTGACATTATGGTGCAATTAAAAATAATAATACATACACAGTTTTGATGTGTTAATTGTATACACTATTGTGTGTAAATACGCGCCTTAAAAATAAAAATCATATAATCAATCCAAAATATAAAATTTGAACCAAAAATTTTAATTTGGTCGATTTATGATGCTATGTTGCAATCTGACAGTCATTAATGTGCAATTCGTCTAATGTTATTGTGTAATCACAGTGCATGCATTATTTATGATTTGCCCAAGCCAAATAAAAATTTAGTTTATTTGGTTTGTTAATCGAATTAACATAATCAACCGAAACAATTTTATAATTTATATTATAATAAATATTTCTAATATTTTGATTTCTTATTTAACTTGTAGCTTAAACAAAGAGATTTGATACTCGCACATTGTACCTTATGCCCGGGAACAAGGGCGATTTTTCCCCCTCTCAAAGATAATTCAATAAGGCTTCTGATTTCTTTTTTTTTTCATTAATATTGTTATCCCGTTGTTCATAGTTAGAGTAGATTTATAATTCAGTTTTCCCCTCTTTTATTTGTTTTACAATTTCAATTAATACGAAAAATTCACAATTTAAATCACACTGCTCGTAAGATCGACCCTTGTTTACTGTTACTGTTACTATTAGTTAGTGAAAGTTTGTCAAGGAAAAATATAAATTTTAATTTTCCACGTTGTGACGCGGACAGTCCAAAAACATTTATTGGTTTGCATTCATCTCGGTATTATATACATTAGATTTTAAGAGCTAAAATGCCAACAATTAGTATTAATAAATGGTGGCTTGAATCATATTCTATTTGTCCTACATATGAAGTAATTTATCAATTTACCATAATAAACTAAACTTAATAAACGTGGAAAGAAATCAACCGGCAAGATCGATGAAGTACTGAACTATCATATTATTACTGCTACCAACGATTGATCTGCTTAACTCGATGATTTGTGGCACTAGAGAGAAGAAGAACACGAAAAGCAACAGAAAAGAAGCAAAGCAACCAATAACATGCTTACTTACATATTAAGCTAAGCCTCCTTCCATTTCAATAAGTATTGAACTTCCTTCCTGTAGCTCCCCTGGCTTCCAAAAGCAAGACAATCCGAGCACAAATCTCCTGTCAGAGGTCTCCACACAGCAACATCCTCTTCAGCAGGAGCCTGCACGTAAGCCTCCTCGAGACCATGCAGACCATAAAAAAACTGATTTGGGTACGAAAAGTGCTCCTTTGTTGCTCGCCCGAGTGCCTTGCAAAGGAAATCATCGGCTACACCGCGCTCATTGCCATATAGATGTTGAGTTATGCACTTTGGGCGGCATAACCGAAACAAGCCTTCAAAAAGAGCATAAATGGTTGAAGGCGTTTGACATTCGGTCTCTATCGTCAAATTCTCAAGTTGGAGTGTGCCGGGTAAATCTAGTAAGTACTCCATCTCGTAGTCAGCCAAGTCCACACAATCGCCTTTGAGAGTGAGATAAAGTTTGGATTGGCTCAGCTGTGTCAAGAAATTACTCAGCCCAAGGAACATCGAAGTACCGAGATGAAAACGGCTCATAATTACATGAGACTCCCATTCAGTTGAATCCGTTTCAATAACCACATGAGGAACTTCGGAACATTCACTGTTGAATGTAAATTTACGAAGACGTGGCACATCAAACTCAACCGCCCCCTGGCGAGCATAGCGTGAAACATATTGTAAACGCTCGAGCGAGTGGATAGAAATTCGTAATTTCTCTTCAGCTTCATTGTAATTATAAAGCTCCCACAACTCAACGGTTAGATCTTTCAGGGAAGGAAATTTAGATGACAGGCGATCATCACCAAACAACGAGGTATCGACTTTCACGTTGCATAGAACCAGACATGTCAGCTTATGGCTGCAGATCAGAGTATCAAAAAATGTGGATTCCAAACATCTTCCTCTAAAATTGGAAATTTCAGTCAGAGACAATTTTTCAATCAAGGGACAGGCCGACAATATTTCTGAGACCACACCAGGGTTGATATTCACATCCTTCAAGCTAAGGTATTCGAGCTTCGAACATCTTACCTTTTCATCCAGAACCAGGTCGTTAATCGTGTACCCCTCCACAGATAAGCCGACGAGGTTCTCAGCTTCCAACACCTCACGCGGCAAAAAGGGTTTTCCTCCACGGGAACCGTTGAGCTTCAAATCTAGATGTTTGGCACCCAATCTCAGTGCTGTCAGAACCAATTCGTAGGAAAGACTAAATGCTTCCCGTTCAGTCCGCGTCTCGCGCTTCAGGTAGAGCCTGAAAGTCTCGATCCATATGTTCGATTTTACGTACCTTTGGATGTTTTTCTTCGCGAATTCCGAGAACTCATCCTTCGTCGTTTCGGAGGGATCGTAGTCGTCGCGGTTGTAGTTGCTGGGGCGGCGAGTTTCTCTGAACTCGGTCTCGTCCAAGACGAGGTTCGTGTGAGTTAACCAGGCACTGTGCCAGGATTTTGAGACCACGGTTGTTCGAGCAGCTTCTTTGCGGGTGAGAAGAGATTGGATGCGATGGATTATGGGCTCCGGCAACGGAATTGTTTCGCGGCGTCGACCCATGTCTGCGAAATCCCTAAAAAATGGAATTTGGGTTTCGAGGAAGGTAATTTCTAAACAGTCGGGCTAGAGGAAATTGTACCCCTACTCAGCATTGTAATTATATTATAATTTTACAACTATTAGATAAATATTTATATAATTACAAAATTAAGCCTAAAATATTGCTAATATACCTAAAAAATAATTAAGGAGTTACACCCAGATAATTAAGGAGTTACAGATTTTATTAAATGCAATTGATATAATTACCAAAAATCGGTCAAAGATACCTAATCACTCTGCAAAAAAATCACCCACCACCCACGGTCACCATCTCCTTTTAAAAAAACCTCTCTTCCTTTTGGAGTTATACCGAGAAAACTGTGAGCACTTGTTCTTAAGGCAATCACAGCAGCAACTGCAAAAAATGTCGAGTTATACCAAGGATTTCGAGTCAGCCAATGGGAAGAAAGTTCTTACTCTGTTTCCCACCGTAAACGATTGATTTACCCTTACCGATTAAATTTTAGAGAGGGAAAAATGAAAATTCAGTATTGTGAATCAATTTATCGTTAATCTTGGGGCGATGGATATATTTTCTTTGCCGATTTGGTATTTACTTATATTGTTATATATCAAACTTACTACACTTATATGCACAACTTTGAATTAGACATTTGAGTGGCCAAAGGTATTTGGATTGAGTTAAATTGTAATGGAATAACCGCTTTGACAAGATGAATTCAAAGACAGGTCACTCGGCTGAAATGGACGAAGGACATTGCCGAAATCATGTTGAACATAGAACAACCCAAATTACCAAGGATGAAACATGGCGAAATTTTAAACTAACCACAAGATATTAAATATATTACATTCTTACAAGGAGAGAGATTTTATTTGTATGAATACCTAAAAAAATGCATTATTATGGATAAATAAAAAATATCAGTTACCAAAGTAACAACTTTCCTACAATCACGCCATTAGATTATTCCTACTATTTACTTTTTGTGCTATTTACATCTCGAATTTTTTCTGTATATTTATAATATATTTTCTGATTTAATACATGCAACATACACGATCAGACTTTATATACATAAAATATACTCATTAAATACGAAGGACATAAATACAAAACACAAAATAAATCAATCTTATCATTATATTATATAAGAAGTGTATGGCCTTTAAATGGCGACACGTGTCCAGTTTTGGGGCCTTAAAAACACAACACTTGTCCCACTTATTTACATTTTCGCCACTGAATTTTCACAGTTGTGTTTGCGATTGTGTGTTGAACTAAATTTACGAAAGTACTCTCATTGTTTTTTTGGGACTGATTTAAAATCTTTGGCCTTTTGGTAATTGCGTTTCGCTTTTCCCAGAATTTCTGCTGTTTTTGCTCCATCTCCCATCAGAATCCTACCTAACATTGATTTCATGTACGATATATCCCCCTAAATCTTCAAACACCATATACGCACGTCATCTTTCGTTTCTTCCGCTTCAAATAGCGCTAAATCTTCTCCCATTTATTTTTCTATGCTTTCAAGCACCACCAACAATCCCCATACGACAATTTTGCACACCATTGTCAAATTCAGCCCTCTAAACCCACTTTTATGAGCTTCTTAGGTTGCAGGGTTCCTCCACAGTACCTTCGAATGGTTGCTGCTGGACTAATTCCCAGTCGGGTGGAGCCTACTGCTATAGTCCATCATTGAATCCAACATCTCTGTCGCGAAGATGAAGGCCTACGGATATGCCGGTGAGTGGTTCCATCTACTGCTATTTGCAGTTTATTTTATTTTATTTTTTTTCAAAATTATGCTTCTGTGCCTTTTTTGTTGTGAAATTAGGGTTCGTCAGCCAACATTTCCCGTTGGAGATTGCCGCTTTGAAGCCCCACGCCGCACTTACAGTAAGATATACGACTCTAAGGTTAGCGTGTACAGTCATAAATGCACTTATATGTTTGATTTTTCATCTTATGGGCTGACGACCATTCTTCAGTTTTAAGGGAAAGTGAATTTCTTAATCTGAATCTTCTAAGTAGTGTGTCCTTTCCAGATAGACCAAAATGAAGGTAGGTTTGAGGACGAGAGAGATGATTTCAAGAAACGAGTAACAACGGCCTGTTTTTTTAATATCCTTTTTTTTTTTCGGGTCGGTCTCCCTTTCGATGTTCTGGATTTATGTGTGTTGCAGTCAAAATTTGGTTTTAAAAAGTTAGAACCTTTAAATTTGTTCATCAGTGATGTTTTCAAAATTGGATCCTTTCAAAAGTTGGAACCAGTGTTTTTCCGTTGTTGGTGACGGTTATTGTCCAAGTTCCTCTAAAATTTTCTTTAATGTGTAGTAGAATATTTGTCTTTATTGTACTGTATTGTTATCCTAATATGTTTATGTTTTCCTATTCCGTTCTTACAGCTAGGGATGAGTTTGTAGATGTTGTTTCTACCTTTGTAAGTTCTCCTATTTCACATTGTCAATTTGTGCCTTTTCATTTTGATTTATGTTTTTCCTCATAAGAGGTATATGTTGCATTCTTGGTTTCTTAATTTCAGACTTTTGTTGGTGCAGTCAGGGCATTACATGTGCTTCCTCAGGTGTATACTTCTTGTCATACCCTTAAATTTTTTGTTGCTTCAAATGTATTGATTATAAGAAATTTTATATCTTTGTGTGATTTGATTAACTGTGTTTATTGTTTATGACTGATAGGAATCACCTACCTCATTGAAAGAACCATTGGGCATTGTTTATTCAAAAAAATCATCAGAATCCAGTATAGAAGGCTCGAATGCTAAGTCCTAAGAAAACGTTCGCATTACTAGACAACTCGCTGGAGGTTTTTTTTTTTAATTCATTTTTTTGTTTATGTTTTTGGCGCTTGATTCATGAAATTAGCTACTGAATACTATTCATTTAATTTTGTGGAATATTAACAGAATCGGGAGCAGAAGATGAGTTTTCCAGATCATCCTCTTGGAGCAGTAATAGACGTGAAAACCAGTCTTTGGACAAAAATTACTGATATGATCATTTTGGGAACATACATACGTTCTTGGAAGGCGGATAACAGGCAACAGTGGGAAAGGAGGAGTCGGTCGTGATTTATGAGTACGGTTTTCGTTAGGTAGACAAATAATGTTTTGCTTTGTTGGCAAAGTGATGCAGAAGCGAAGTAGAAGAAAGGGAAATAAACGATAAAACTCGTAATCCGATAAAATCAACAATAATCCCCCTCCACAAGCGTAGAGCACAATATATATAAAGACTCCAACTTTCCTAAACCTGCTCTAAGCTAAATTATTTATTTAATTACCAAACAACTTAAATATTTAAAGAAACTAAATAAAGGATGAATATAAAATAGGAAATAATGCAACTAAATTCGAAGCCTGTCGAATTTATCCAAGAATGCCATCGCGGCCTCGTCTCCATCATCCTCCCCCGGTTGGGAGGGATTCGGCCTCGAATCCGAATCGTCCTCGTCTCCAGAATTATCACCAGTGAAAGGGACCAAGTGCTTGACGTTAAAAAGGTCAGAAGTGCGAATATGAGAAGGAAGACGGAGACGGTACGCATTCGGGTTGATCTTCGCAATAATCTCAAGTGGGCCAATTTTCCGAGCCGACAGCTTGTTGTACTCATGGGCCGAAAACATGTCCTTCGCCAAGACCGCCCAAACGAAGTCGCCAACGGAGAACTCAACATGGCGTCGTCGCACGTCGGCCCGCCGTTTATACGCGATCGTGGCCTCCTCCAAACGAGCTTGGGCCGCCGCATGAACAGCACGCAAATCGCCAATAAAGTCCACAACACGTTTATCCGTCGGCGTCGTGGTCGGGACCGGCACCAAATCGGCCGGACCCCGCGGTTGAATCCCGTAAACCGTAAAGAACGGGGAATAGCCCGTCGCCATACTCACGGCCGAATTATGTGCGAATTCGGCCTGACTCAATTTTTGGTCCCAGCTGCGGAGGTTATCGCCAACCAAACAACGTAGCAAGTTACCCAACGAGCGATTCACAACCTCAGTTTGCCCGTCGGTCTGCGGGTGATAAGCACTGCTAAAGTCCAGACGAGTATTCGCCATGCGCCAGAGGCTACGCCAAAAATGGCTCAAAAATCGAGTGTCCCGGTCCGACACAATCGACGAAGGAAGCCCATGTAATTGATAAACCTCTCGAAAAAATAGCAAAGCCACATGGACGGCGTCAGTAGTCCTCTTGCATGGAATGAAATGCATCATCTTAGAAAAACGATCCACCACGACAAAAATCGAATCAAAACCCCGCTGAGTACGAGGCAGACCCAAGACAAAGTCCATACTCACTGCTTGCCACGGAAGAGAAGGAAGTGGCAGAGGCCTATATAAACCAGCATTAGTCGCGGAGCCTTTGGATACCTGGAAAATCCGACACCGAGACACGAAACGGGCGACGTCGCACCGGAGGGAGGGCCAAAAGTATGACCGGCGCAGCAGCTCGATCGTGCGGTCATGGCCCACGTGACCGGCGCTATGCAAATCGGCGATCAGCTTATGTCGCAAGCTGCAGGCCGGGACACATAGACGAACACCCCGGAACAAAAAGCCGTCATGAAGGGCATAATCGTCCACAGGCCCGCCCGCTAGTCGTCGTACAATAGGGCCGAAAAAAGGGTCATCACCACAAGTATCACGCAGTACCTCAAAACCGACGACGGACACACGCATATCCGTCAACAGCAAAGTACGGCGGCTGAGAGCGTCCGCCACTCTGTTAGAAGAACACGATCGATGCCTCAGAAAAAATATGAATTGCTGCAAGTAGGCCGTCCACGAAGCATGTCTAGCAGAAATATTGTCCTGGGAAGCCAAGTGTCGCAATGCCTCGTGATCAGTATACAAAATAAATTCCTTGTGAAAAAGATAATGTCTCCAATGACGCACCGCACGCACGACAGCATAGAACTCCACATCGTAAGCGCTGTACCGCAACCGAGGGCCGAACAGTTTCTCACTAAAGAACGATACAGGCCGACTGTCCTGGCTAAGCACAGCTCAGATCCCCACTTTTGAGGCGTCGCATGAAAGCTCAAAAGGACGATCAAAATCCAATAACACCAGCACGGGGGCCGAAGTAAGCTTGCTTTTGATGAGAGAGAAGGCCTCCTCAGCAGTCGTTGTCCAAATAAAATTCTTCTCCGTGAGACAATCCGTAATCGGGGCTGTCAAGGAACTGAAGTGGGATATAAACCTGCGATAAAAGGAGGCCAGGCCATGAAAACTGCGAGCCTCGGTAAAAGAAGTAGGTGTCGGCCACTCGCGAATTGTCGTCACCTTGGTATCATCCACCCGAATACCGTCGCCCGAGATCACGAAACCCAAGAACAGCACGGAAGGCACCATAAACAAACATTTTCGAGGGGCCGCAAAAAAAGATTCATCACGAAGAATAGTCAATACCGAACGAATATGAGCTAAGTGATCCTCAACTGTCCGACTATAGATGAGAATATCATCGAAATAAACGACAACACACTTACCAATGAGCTCCCGTAGTGTCTGATTCATCACTCGCATTAAAGTACTGGGTGCATTAGACAACCCAAACGGCATGACCAACCATTCAAAGAGTCCCTCCCGTATCTTAAAAGCGGTCTTCCACTCATCACCCGGACGGATTTGAATCTGGTGATATCAGCTGCGAAGATCCAACTTCGTGAAAATAGTCGCACCGTGAAGCTGGTCCAACAAGTCGTCAAGGCGAGGGATAGGGAAACGGTAACGGACTGTGATTTTTATTGATAGCCCGACTATCAACACACATGCGCCATGAACTATCCTTCTTGGGAATGAGAAGGGTAGGCACCGCACACGGGCTCAAGCTACGCCGCACCACCCCACGCTGGAGAAGTTCCTCAACCTGCCGTCGCAACTCCTCGTGTTCGGCCGGACTCATTCTATAATGGGGCCTGTTAGGTAAAGAGGCGCCTGGCATCAAATCGATATGGTGTTGGATGTCTCGCAAAGGCGGCAGACCCGCCGGAAGCTCTTCGGGAAATACATCAGAGAACTCAACAAAGGTCGAAGAGCAACAGGGGTGACATTGTCAGAAACGGAGTCGGCCCCGAACAATAATAACACAACCGGAGCCACACGCATCTCCTCCTCAAAGGAGGCCCGGGATAGAAACAGAACCGGAGAAGACACGGACGATGACGGTAAAGGACGAGGCGGTCCCGGATGTAAGACGACCTTAACACCACCGAAAAGAAAACTATAAGTGTTAAGGCGACCGTCGTGTGTCGCAGCACGGTCGTACTGCCAAGGACGTCCTAAAAGCAGATGACAAGCGTCCATGGGCACAACATCGCACCAAATCTGATCACGGTACCTCGGTCCAATGGAGAAAGAAATCAACACGCGGCGGTCCACAGTGACCGCAGTGCCCTTTTGAATCCAGGCAAGAGTATACGGCTGTGGATGAGGTTCCGTCGAAGCTTCTCAACCGCGTCTTTAGCAAATACATTCTCGCAAGACCCAGAATCGATAATGAATCGGCACACCCGCTCACCAACGGTGCATGTTGATTCAAACAGATTGTGTCGCTCAATCGGACTACTCAAGTCCCGAGGTGCCAAACATGACCGCCGCAGAACAAGGGCCCGTCCAACGTCGTCGGTGAGGTGTTCCTCGACCACCTCTGGCCCCTCGTCAAAGACCGGGGGTCCATTGTAATCTTCATCCCCACCAACAGCCTCGGTCTCCTCGGTGAATAAATTACGGGAGGTAGAACCCTTCGGACACGCCGACTGCCGGTGGCCGACCTCACCGCACCCAAAGCAACGCAACCCGCTGGTCGCACGTTGACCCGTCGAACCACCCGCTGAGGTGGCGTGGTTTCCCAGGCCCGAAGCCGCAGCCCAGTTCGACTCCTGGCCCGCGTTCGAAGAACCCGCTGACGGCCCAGGTCCAAATGCCTGACCTGCAGCCGCAGGTGTTGGGCTAAATCCTCCTCGCGATCCCGGCAGAAAACTCGAAGACCGCCTCGCTTGTTGTTGTTCCACCATGACGGCCCGTTGATGAGCATCCGCCACCGAATCAGGAATAAACAAGTTCAACATATCCTGAATCGAAACCCGCAAACCACTAATATACCGAGACACCAATTGAGTCGTGGTCTCTCGAATATCAATGCATGCGAGGAGTCGATAGAATTCCTCTGTGTACTCGTCAACTGTACGCGATCCTTGTCTAAGGTCTGAAACTTTTGATAAATAAGGCTGGTGTAATTAAAGGGCAAAAATTCACGTTCGAGATGCTTACAGAATTTTGCCCATGAAGTAATCTTCGGTTTACCCATACGATGCCGCATTCCTTTCAATTGCATGAACCAGGCTGCAGTCCGTCCTCGAAAACGCGTCGCGATAAACCTGTCCCGCCGATCATTGGGCACTTCTTTGAAGTCGAGAATCGACTCCACTGCAGCGAGCCAATCGAGAAACTCCGCAGCGTCGAGCCCACCCGAGAATTCCGGCACCTCAATTCGAAAGCTGGACTCCCAACGATTGTCGCCGCCCTCTGTCGCGCGACGTTGTCCGCGGGGTCTGTCCCAGCCATCATCGTCCCGGTAATCCGACTGGTGCTCGCCATCGTCGTCTCGTTGCTCCCGTCGAATGCCGAAAGGGTTGCCGTCCGACAGGGTCTTCTCGCCGTCGTCTAGGCCGTGCGGCGATCGTGGCGAACGCATTCGGGGCGCCCCGAATGGCCCTCTGCCGCCACGTCCTCCGCGAAACCCGCCGCGACCACCCCGGCCTGTGGTGTCACAGTTTATCTACTCGCCGTTCATCATAGATCGGATAGCAAGTCGGATTTCGTCGATCCCCTCTGAAAGACCTTCAACACGACGGTCCACTCGCTCGATTTGGAACCCTAGATCGTCAGTTCGGCGATCCAAATCTTCGAGATGGGCATCCCGTCGTTCGTTGTCGTTTCGTTTTGGCGGCATCTTGAATCGTCCCGACAGCTGATACCAACTGATGCAGAAGCGACGTAGAAGAAAGGGAAATAAACGATAAAACTCGTAATCCGATAAAATCAACAATAATCCCCCTCCACAAGCGT